CTACGAAGCCAACGGGGTTTGCTTTCGGGGGTGCAGCCACGAGCGGAACGACCTTTGGTGCAGGCTCGGCGGGGTCCATGGTCTTTGGCTTCGGCACCAGCACGCCTGCGCAAGCAAGCAGCACTGCGAGCCCGTTTGGTGGCTTCAGCGGCTTCAGCGGTTTCGGCCAAAGCAGCGGCAGCACAACTGCGGGGCCTGTCACCTTTGGCTTCGGAAGCCAGGCTGTAAGTTTTGGAGCTCCTGCAGTCTCCTCCGCGGTGGAGACCAAAGTGCTGGCGGAATTGCCAGACTTCACAACAGACAGGATACCCACAGGAGATGTCTTTGTCCACGGCAGTGGTGAGTGCGATCAGCTTGGCTTGGGAGATGCTGTCCGTGAACGGCAAAAGCCGACGCTCGTCAAATCCTTGACGGGGCTCAGCATCTGTGAAATCGCCGTGGGTGCCATGCACGTGCTGTGCTTGACTACGGGGGGAGCCATCTACAGTTGGGGCTGCAATGATGACGGGGCCCTAGGCCGAGCTTCATCCGATGGTTCAGATGGCGGGCCGTCAGATGTCGAGCCTCATGTAGTGATGATGCCCCAAGGAGTCGTAGTTCGTCACGTGTCCTGTGGAGATGGTCACAGCTGTGCTTTGGACGACAGCCGCCGTGTGTGGCTCTGGGGAACCTACAAGGATTCCAACGGCTACATCGGCATCGTGCGCAAGCGCAAGCAAGAAGCAGAAGTCTTGGAGAAGAGCGCAGAACCCACTTTGGTTCTTGAGAGCTGTCTTCAAGTAGCAAGTGGTGCCAACCATACTGTAGCGCTGGTGGATGCGGGCAATAGCAAGAAAGTCTTTGCCTGGGGCTCCAACGCAACCGGACAGCTTGGATTGCAAGAGGGCTGCGGCTTCTCTGAGCGCCTGCTGCCATGCTCTGGAAGCATTGCGAACCTCGCGCCGCGCGAAGGCGGTGGTTGTGAAATTGCCGGGGAACAGGTTGTTCGCTTACATCTTGCTGATGGCTCTGTGCGCAGTGCGGCTTCCATGACTGTTGAGCAGGTCCAGCAAACTGTGGCGCAAGGTGCGAAAGAGTTGGTGCTGCAGCTTCCGGATAGGGAGGTCCCCAAGACTGAGAAGAAGAAACTGCTGCATCCACAAGACATGCCACTGGCAGCCGCTGCAACTGGTGAGTCCGAGGTCATCGCATCAGGTGTGCACGCGAGTGCCGAATGCAGCTTTGTGACGTTCCAGGGCGGTTCAGTGCGTGGCTGTGGCTTGAACGGAGATGGGCAGGTCGGAGTTGGCTTCGTGAGTATGGCTGTGCCTCAGTTACAAGCAGTGCCTGCAGTGGCAGGAGCCTCTTGGTTGGGTGGTGGCCTCTACAACACGGCTGCTCTGGTGGATGGACGTGTCTTCACTTGGGGCAAGGCAGAGGAATGCGGACTTGGTCTCGGGGCCAAGGCCAGGTGGGACATGCAACGGTTCGCATGTGCTTGCTCTTGCTTTTGTTCAAGTTTCTGAATTCTGACACTTGCATGAGCAGGACCCTCCGGTTCTGCAGCCTCGAGAAGTATTAGGTCTTCCAAAAGTTCGTGCTCTTCGCAGTGGCGGTCATCACACACTGGCTAGCACGGCTGATGGTGACCTCTTCATGTGGGGCTGTGGCTTGACCCACCAGTTGGCAAACCGGCCCAGAGATGTGTCCAACCCTATTGATACTAATGAGGAGCCCGCAGACGAACTGAAGCCGTACAGAGTGTCGTCAAAGCAGCTGCAGAAGCGGTTCGTCATGCTGGCAGATGGGGGCGCTCAGCACAGCGTGGAGCTTGCTTGGGATGGCGCATACAGCGCTCCCAGCCAAGACGGGGCTGGGACAGGGC